TATAAATTTTAATCCGTTCCACCATATAACTCCGTTCCGTGAAATTAAACATCATTTTGTTATTTTTCTTTTTAATAATACTTTTATAATTTGAGTCAATTTAAAAGTTTTTTTTTTTAAATGGTTTCCATAATATATATATATTTTAATTTTATAGAGTTAAAATATTATTAATATTATACTTTTTATAGAATTTAAATATCATAAATACTTTAAACGTTTAATGTGTAGTATCTATGCATAATATATTGATAATATTTTTACATGTTTACTCTGTAAAAAATATAATAGTAATGGATCATGCGAAAAGTAATTATAAAAATTAAACGTTAGTAAATAAAAATGATTCACAATTTGGTTAACATAAATCTTAGTACTAAGTATTTAAGTTTTGTTATTTTTTTTTTGAACATAAATTTTTTTTTATACATATATTTTCCTTATGTTAAATTCATAAGAGACAAAACAAAAACTTTAAAAGAAAAGATAAAGAGATAAATATAGACATGTAAAATGAAATGAAAGATATTCAATACAGCTTGTTGCGTTACACTTAAATAGTACATATAGATATCAAAGTTCTTCAGTGTAATTTGATTGTTTAATCTTGTTCTTTGAATCACCTCACATTTTGTCTTTCTCTCTTTTATCTTAGTGAAACCTAGGGTATAGAAGAAAAAAAAGAAGAAGCAAATATTGAGATTTTTTTTAATTTTAAAAAAACCCATAAAAAATGGTTTTTTTTTTTTTTTTTTTTTTTGGGACAAAAAAAAAAAGAAAAGAAAAATGGTTAGTCTTAAATCTAAATTTAGTATCACCTAGTCACCGTTACTGAAAAATGATTGATAGTATGATTCTCTGATTCTTGCTTGACGAAACTTTAGCAACTCAAATCGTTTGTCATAGTCCTTTCTTCACTCAAAGCTGAATCTTGGAACCCTACAATCACAAAAATTAAGTAGTTAGATTGTAATTGAAGAACAACATTGAAATAACTAAACCGCAAAGAGATGATGAAATTATCTATATTAATGTATATATATATATATATATATATTATATTACATGTTATATACGTTAATATGTTTGTAAACAAAACAAAAGACTTAAAGTGCTTCATCAGTTAAAATCATATCGATGGCTTAAGTCTTTAAAATAAGTGAACTCAAAAGGAACATCCATTTTAATTGTTTTGGAGGAAGATGGTTTTATGAAACTTTGAGGTAATGTGTTCGTTCTAAACTCCTTTTTATAGACACATATAATCGGTTTGATAAGAAAGAATCTTATTAATATCTTAAGTATATTTTGTTATGCTATTTGTGAGAGTAGGGAAATTTCTCTTTAATACGAAGATTTGATACGTGAAAATAGGAGATTTAATTTAACTATAAGAAAAATCCAAAATATAGTTACTAAAGTGATCGATTATAATTTTTGTTTTTTTTTTGAAAAAATGTTTTGATTAATTTTAAAAACAGAAACGTAAAGCTAATTTAAAAAATTTCTGCAATAAATATTATTTTGAAATTTATTAATTTTGTTAAGTGTTTAAAATTCCTAAAATCTTGGTAATAGTTATAGAAGATTCCGATCTCATTTACTTACCCGATTTGGATACATAATAATATAGTTAATAATAAATAATTCCATATAATGATTTTTGAATTAATTGCGTATGACTGACCGTCGAGATTGAAGATTAAAAACCGAATTAATATTTAAATGGCCACGATTAAATGTAGGGATTGTTGAGATATTTTAAAGAAATTGAATTGAATATGGATGTAATTGTGGCAAGGATTAGTTATGATTAATATATTAGGTTAAGATTTAACTGAATATTTGTTCTTATTGATTATGAAATCTATCTCAATAATCACTTACCTAATTAGTTCATATTATTGTTTCAGAAATCTTTTTCAATAATCACTTACCTAATTAGTTTATATTATTGTTTAGGTAATATTTGAAAACCCGTTTAAATGACTCATTGACCCGCGAGATTAAGAAGTGGCTCATAACTTTAATGACGTGGATTAATTATGTTTATGATTAGAGATTTGAAATGGCATATAATGTAATTTCTTACACTTCTCAATGTTACAACTTATTGATGTACTTCCCAATCTAAAACCACATAAATTCAATTATTTTTATAATATTTAATTATATTTTTATTTAATATTAACTTTTATTCAAGGGTTTATTTTATTAATTTTAAGATGCAAATCTTGACGAAATCTTAAAAATAAAAGATAATTAAATTAAAATGATGATTTGTTATTATTTGAATTTTTGAAATTTAAAAATAAATGATGATTCTTTATTATTAAATTACATTAAATTGGATTGTCATTTCTGGAAATTTCTATTAATATATTATCAAATTTAATTAGTTTACATATATACAATTTCGTTTTTTCTTCTATATATACTAATCATAATTAATTAGTATAGTTTTGTTAATGAAATATTTTAAAATCTAAACTAAATTTCGTTGTATGATTAAAAATTATTTGTATCTAAATAAAATCCATGTTTGTTAGATTCGTGATTGAGCTCCTAAAGATTAGGTAATCTTTTTAATATCTTTAAACCTATTTGACCCATTGACCCATTTTTTAATAAATTGGTTAATATTAGTGACATGAAATTAAAATAATTATGATTAGAGACCTCTAATGGCATATATTGTAATTTTTTTATCAATCCTTATCCTTTTATAAATTGGATTGATATAAAATGTTTTCAATGATATATCATTTTCATTAACATTTTCAATGACATTTTTTATAAGATGTTCGAATAATGGATTACTATATAACATTTTGAATAACATTTTCAATAACATTTTCGAATAATATATTAGTATATTAGTATATAACATTTTTATGTATGATATAAACAAAATCTTTTATGTATTATATAACATTTTTATGTATTATATAATCTCGAATATTGATTAGTATATACCATTTTCGAATTATATTAATTATGTATTATATAAACAAAATCTTTTAATATCTTTAAACCCGTTGCCCCGTTTATATATATATTATTAGTGACATGGAATAAATTTTATGATTAGAATTATATAATGGCATTTATTGTAATTTCTTACAAAATCTAAGTTATGATCCTTAGGATGTACTTCCCAAATATTAGTATAGGATACATAAAGTAAAAAAAAAATCAATTTTTTTCTGCATATACTGTGATTCGAAATTTTAAAATCGGATATATATTATCCAATTGACGAAAATGTGTGTTCAACGTTCTACATCGATTAAAATATTTAGACAATGATTCAGAATCATATCATAAATAAGATCAACATTAATAAAATAAATGAGTTTTTTGGTCGAACGGGTTTGGCGGGATGGATTTTTGAATCAACAATAATAAAAAGATTAAAATTTCATTAATCTGCCGCTTCAATACGGATTGAATCTTTAATTTTTTTTAATACCACCAATATTAGACATATTAAATCAGTCTCATTTAGAAAAGATTGTATAAAACCAAAATTTGTCATGTGGTATAATGTTACCTAATAACAATTGTAAACTATAAAATATAAATATCTTAGAAAATGATACAATTTGTAAACTTTTTTATATAATAAATAATCGTTAAATTTTAAAAATTACTACTTTTAGAAAACAAATCATGGGGCGGGTTAAGAAGTTACATGACGGGTTATATTTCGGAACGAAGTTATATGGTAGACGAGTTTGAATCAATATTTATAAAATTTTAAAATATCATTAATATGCCGCTTTAATACATATTAAATCTTCAGTTTATTAAAATATAATTTTCTTAGAGAATGATATGATTTGTAAACTTTTATATATAATAAATAATCATTAAATTTTAAAATAAAAATAAATCACGGGACGGGTTAAGAAATTACGGAACGGATTATATTTCGGAACGGGTTTATATGGCGGACGAATTTGAATCAATATTTATAAATATCATTAACATGCCGCTTTAATACGGGTTAAATCCTCAGTTTATTAACAATTGTCTCGTGGACTCGTGGTATACCGTTACTTAATAGCAATTGTAAACTATAATATAAATAAATATTTTATAAGGAGATACAATTTACAAAATATTTTTGTACTAAATTTAAAAATAAATCATCTCGGGTGTACCGCGGGTTAAAATCTAGTATTGGTTTAAAAATTTAATAACCTCATATCTTTTCTCCCTTAGAGCATTGGTAACGCTGAAAACACTGATTTGTGTTCTTCACATTATTTTATTAAGAAGAGAGAGAAGAAAAAAAAGAAAGAAAAAAGAAGAAAAAAAGAGGACTAATACACAAAAGACACGTGCTCATAATACTCTTAGAACACCTTAGAGCATGTGTATGGGTGATACTCATATAGTATCATTTGGAGTTTTTTAGTATTATTTATAATGTTTGTTTATTGTTTGAGATTTTTTATGATACTCCTACTAAATATGTTTGCATTGGTGAGACCGGTTTAAGTATCATAAAAAAAAAAAATTTGCAAAATCAAAAATTAATATATTAAAACATAGGATTACAAAAGGTAATATTACAATAAAAAAAATATAGAATATACTTAAGCAAAATAAAACATAAAATTCAAAAAAACTGAAAAAAAAACATGATGACAACTACAAGTTCAACCAGATTTAATAAAGTCTCACTTACACCAATTCTGTGAATTTTTTCACTCTTGCAGGTAGAGGGAATGCCACAGACTGCAAAGTAGAGAGCTACATACCCTCCAAGTGAGTTCCCTGCGATGTACTCAGAAACTTATTCAAGTGAAATCTTGATCTCAAACTAGAACACAAACAAAATTAAAGAACATGGATGAATTCTAATATCTAATAGATGTTCAGTTTTTAGACACACAATTAAATTCAGTTTCAATAACCAACAATATGCACTTCAATAGTTAAAACATACCCGATTCAATAGTCAAAGCCAGTATTGTCTTCTCCATCACCAGAATTTGTTTGTGACTGTATTCATGGTCTGCAATATCAGCTAGATCCTCCACCTGCATATCATCTGGCAATTTAGTCCTGCAGACAGATAGCAAATTTGCAGTTATGTAAGTATTAATGTGATCCAAGAATTTCTGTATTTGTGCTTCATAAAAGTATTAAAGTCAAAGAGCCAGACCAGTGGAGACCACACGGACGCCATTGCCAGAACCAGAAGCATAGCAATCCTTTGGAATCATGAGAGAGTTAGCTTCAGTCAATGCCAAAGCAGCCATCATGTGAATCACTATCAACATCTCCATCCAAAGGTTTGTGCAACATATATCTGCCTGTATACACACGCACCTTCAACTTGTTAACACTTAAAGGGTAATAGAACAAACAAAATCCAAATCCTCAGGATCGACTTATTTTAAGCAAAAACAGAACTTACTCGTCGACCATCTCCAAGGGTCCTCCACTTGAACTCCACGCAGCCCTCCATCACTTCTACAACCTTCGATTTCCCAGCTACTTTCTTTGGCTTTGGTACTGCGATTCTCTTGACTACAGGTTTCTGCAGGTCAAAAACATTACCGATATCACCAACCCTACACTTGTGAAATCAAATTTCCAGAAACCCTAATCACAAACCAAGAGAAGGAAACGAAATCTACACAAACCCTATACATAGATCTACACAGAAGGAAACGAAATCAGAAAAAAAACTTATCTTCAACACAGATCTCTTCAACCGACAGCTCTTCTTCGCCGACGGAAGCTCCACGGCGACATATGACGGCGGGACTAGGAGACCTGAAGCATCTGCATGTTCTAGATCGACGGAGATCTACGTCGTACCGGCAGGAGCTGAGAAAAGATGAGAAGTCGGCAAATCGCCGTGAGAGCGAGAGAGAAAATGAATTTTTTTTTTTTTTCCTTCTTTCGGCAAAACAATTAACACGACAAATCACGGCCTGCCACGTATGTTGATACTGGGTATCAGAAGTCTCAGTGGACTGATACGGCTCAGCCCAATTTTATGTGTTTGGTCCATTAAAAAATATTAAATGGGCTATTGATACTCTAAAAAGTTTAGCTATGTACATGGTCTTAAGAACAGTTCTCGGGGAGGAACACAATTCCACTTTGTCTTATACTGTTCAAGCCTTTTATTAATTTAATACTCTTAGAACACCTGATGTGTTTTGGCGATGCATATGGTCTTATGGTCAATATTTATATTATTTTTCTATTATATCTACATAAATATTTTTTGATTTTACTTAATTGACACTTAATAATTTTCCTTTTTTTTTTGTTAATTTTTGCCATTTTGATTCGATTGGTAGAAGCATTCCAAAATTTTGTATATCCGTTTTCAAATTTTCCACCACAATTTTTCATTAAGTTAGAAATAGTGTACTACTAGTGATGTCATGCGCAAACAAAAACCTATGATAAATTCATTTGGTCAGAAAAAAAGAGCGACTAATACCTGGGCCTAAAGGCCTATCATGATAATTACGAGCCCATAAAATATAGGCCCATTTGATTTAACCCTACCTTTTTATAAGTTGCCTCTTTCATCTTTGTCGCAAAACCCTAAAGCTAAGCCGCATTTTATATCTTCAATCTTCTGTCGCAGGCTGTTGTAGCAGCAGGAGACGATGAAGGTAGCTCCATCTTTCTCTTCTCATCGATTATCTCACTGTGTTATTTCGTTTGATTCATTCAATTTTGTTTGTGTCGCAGTTCAACATCGCCAACCCCACCACCGGGTGCCAAAAGAAGCTCGAGATCGATGACGACCAAAAACTGTAAGATCTTTTCTTTTAATCGCATTCATTGTCTTCATAGATTTGTGATTCTTTGTAGATTTAGGTTTTGCTCATCTAGTGTGAAATATCTGCTATGAAGTTAAAATTCTTTGGATCCAAACCTTAGTATCTGATGCAACACTAGGTTATTGATGTTTACTGTGTTGGTCTGATATATTCTCTAACCAGTTCTGAATCTACAACATAGCTGCTTTTAGTCGATTTGGGTCAAGTTTTTGAGTGTCATTTTCGTTTGGTTGTTGCAGCCGTGCTTTTTTCGACAAGAGGCTCTCTCAGGAAGTTAGCGGAGATGCTTTGGGCGAGGAATTCAAGGGATACGTATTCAAGATCATGGGAGGTTGTGACAAGCAAGGTTTCCCAATGAAACAGGGAGTTCTGACTCCTGGGCGTGTCCGCCTCTTGCTTCACAGAGGTACTTTATTCCACCTCATTGATCAACTTATAAAGATTAACTGTCTGTGTTATTGATTTATGTAATTTGGTTTGTGTGATTAGGTACTCCTTGTTTCAGAGGACACGGAAGGAGGACTGGAGAGAGGAGACGAAAGTCTGTTCGTGGTTGCATTGTCAGCCCTGACCTCTCTGTCCTTAACTTGGTTATTGTGAAGAAGGGTGAAAGTGATCTTCCCGGGCTTACCGACACTGAGAAGCCAAGAATGAGAGGTCCCAAGAGGGCATCAAAGATCCGCAAGTTGTTTAACCTTGGAAAGGAGGATGATGTGAGGAAGTATGTCAACACTTACCGCCGTACCTTCACAAACAAGAAGGGTAAGAAAAATCAGATCCTCTTGAAAACTGGTAATATGATTGAAGATTTACTAAAATCTGTTTCTTCTTTGTGCAGGCAAGAAGGTTAGCAAGGCTCCTAAGATCCAAAGGCTTGTCACTCCATTGACTCTCCAGAGGAAGAGAGCTAGAATTGCTGACAAGAAGAAGAAAATCGCCAAGGCTAACTCTGATGCAGCTGAGTACCAGAAACTTCTTGCCTCCAGACTTAAAGAGCAGCGTGATCGCCGTAGTGAAAGTTTGGCCAAGAAGAGGTCTAGACTCTCTTCTGCTCCAGCCAAACCCGTTGCTGCTTAAACTGCCCCAAGATTAAGAGATTTCTTTCTCTCTAGTTTGTTTCTGGTCGTATTAAAGTTGCTCCACTGACATTTTGAAAACTATTTTTTGGTTTTTGCTTTGTGTCAACTTTTGAAGCCTTTTTATTATATCAAGTTTTGAACCCCTTGGTAGTTGGTTGCTATATTTCGATTTAATTTATAAGTCCGTTTGTTGATAAGAAATGACTAGAAAAATATAATTATATGATGGTCTAGACTCTAGACATCATACCATCATATACATATCACACGTTTACATACCCAACTACCAAGGGATTCATGATGTCAAAGAGAATATTGTCTAACACATTACCAGCGGCTTTAACACATCGTTTTCATTAGAAATATCATTGAAGCTGGTGAAGTTGGAGTCCAGAAGATTCACACCTCAAGAAATCCTGCAGATAACGTATATATTGGTTTATTGGTACAAACATACTTTGTATTATACGCCAAATCATTGTTATAAATCAGAATAATTAGGTTTCTAGTTTTACAAGAAGATATATGATTTAAAACTGGTACATACATATAATTTTTTTTGTATGTACCAAATTATTGTTATAGTTGAAAAAAGTTATGAGCATGTTTACAATGTAATGCGACATTTCTCATAAAAATAATGAAATAAATCATGATTATCCGGCACGGTCACACCGGGTAAGCTTGGAGCATCCAGCTTTATACTCATTAACTCGCTCTTTAGGTTTCCCAGCTGATCCTGGGGCCTGACACCCTGCTGGTGGATTAGGACGCAAACACGGATCAAGCACCCCTGGATTTAAAAATTTACCCACACCAGCAGCTAGCGTTGGCTCCATCATCATGAAAATGCTTATTACCATTAAACATATCACCCAAGCCTTCATTTTGACTTGATGTTTTTCTTTTATTCCCTTATAGTTTATATGATTCTGAAAACGACAGAGTGAGGAATTATTAACAAAACGAGCAAAATGAATTTATCTTTATATGTATTTAAAGAGGAAATTAGATTAATATAGATTTTAACACCATCTATACACCACACAATCTAAATTTGTTATTGTTTTAGATAAAAAGAGAGACCAAAAGCAACCTCACAGATTAGTTAAATATTCTAATCTGGAATCACTAATTTGAGAGGTAATTTTTTTGTATAGTCTAATTTGGTAAAACCTATGTTAAGATCAATTTTCTCAATTTGTTTATAGTCTACTCCAGCCCAAGCACGCTTAACTGTGGAGTTCTCTCATGACAGTTGGCCGAAAAGATAAGTGCACTTTGGTGACATAGGTGGCCAAATCAATTCTTTTAAACCTCTCCGCATGCACCACCATATTTCTGAAATCGGGGTGTTACAATTCACCCCCACTAACAGATCGCAACGTCCTCGTTGTGCACCAAGACCGTCACCCCCTACGGTGTGAGCCCTCTTGACTCCACACTCGTCTGGGTCGGCTCTGATACCACTTGTAACGCCCCGACCGTCCCTACCAGTGGGCCCCACGTCCTCTCTCTGGCCCATGGCCCACCCTTGTCCGACGGCCGGTCCGCTACGTCCGGGAAGCTTTAAAGACTTGTTTACCGACCCTACAAATCACCACATGATCTTTCCCTGTGTTTTGTCCTCACTCACACAGTTTCGACAATCACTTCCCGGAAGCTCACCCATCCTGAAACTACTCCAGCCCAAGCACGCTTAACTGTGGAGTTCTCTCAGGACAGTTGATCGAAAAGATAAGTGCACTTTGGTGACATAGGTGGCCAAATCAATTCTTTTAAACCTCTCCGCATGCACCACCATATTCCTGAAACCGGGGTGTTACATTTATCTTTATCTTTGTTTGAATTTTTTTTCTTGAAAAATTGAATCGATCTCACTATATATCGTTAGTGACGAGTGGACTTCATTTTCAGGTTTTGAAAACGTGATTTTGTTTTTTTTTACCATGTAGAACATTCATAAAATTTTCATGTTTACAAACGTGATTCCGCTATATAAATTATGTGTGTTAAAAATTCTCTCGCTTAAACCTCTTCTAGAAGAGAATAACTTTTTGAACAGAAAAAAAAAAAGAAATTTTTTTTGATAAAACATCTATAAATCTTAATTTTAATTAGTCATGCCTAATCGAGCTATATTAACCATCCAACCATTGTACGATAAGCTTTGATGATTTGTTGTTCATCCTTTCAAACTTCTACTTCGTATTAGTCAACACTGTTGAAAATTTGCAGTTCCTTGTACTTATATACATGTCCCATATTTCGATTTGACCAAACTTTTCTCAATCTCGACATTAACTACTTAAATAGGTTTCAACTTCCAGCTTTTTTGATAATTTTCTATTCATTTTCCAACTTGGCTTAGATGAAGCATTAAAAATCTCGAATCTGTCTTTTGAAGTCTATTACATTGATTCATAGCTCCACACACAAGTTTACATAGAATGTCTTTTACAATTTATACTATTGTAGATATTAATTTTGTCAATCATGTTATATTAGTACCATGAAAACATCCAATATCTCGAGGTTGAGTATGTTCGAGCAGATTTCTTCCATATTTTCGTCAAATGATTTCATTACTTGATACAAGTCTTCGATTTCATGTACATATATATTAAGTGAATATTTGGTAACATATGAGATCATCTAAAACTCAACATGCTAAATTGATAAACTCAAAACGAAGTTTTTCTCTTTACTAAATCATCCAAAAATGTAAATATTGGTTGATTTATGTGTAAAACCGTACAATCTTTTTCTTGGTTTACGACTACCATTCATCCCTAAAATAATTAACAACTATATATACATATGTATCTCTATACATACATCATTTTTTAAGAACATCTCTAACAACATCTTGAAACTACTTTAGATTCCAGTTCAAGTTTCTTAGTGTCTCGGGTGAAAAATAAAAAAAACCAGCT